CTAAACCCCAAGTTTTACCACATATCCTTCGACATGTCAATAGAGACAGTCTGGTTTTGTGTAAAACTTTTTCCAAGTGAGCGTTCCAGGTAAGTTTTCTAACAAGAACAATGCCATTTGGAACGGAGGTGGGTAGCGTTAGCTCGTTCAATTTTCTCCTTATGGTGTAGAGAATTATCACAGTTTTGCTGGGGTTGACAGACATCTGCTTCCTCAGGCACCAACTGTGAACAACGTCCAACGTGCTTTGGAGGATATTACAAGCTATCCTTCCTGACCTGGACCTTGCCAAGATGACAAAGTCATCTGCATAAGCTTGCAGATCTACTTTTCTTCTGTCGAGGGCATCAAGCAGACTATCCATCAGGAGCGACCACAGAAGGAGAGATAGTACCCCACCTTGAGGGCAACCCCTGGTGACACTGAACCCAATGGCCTTGCCTTGAAGAGTCGTAGTTGCAGTTCTGTTTACCAGCATGGCATTGATCCAGCCAGTTATGGTCGATTTTATACATTTCCTAGTGAAAGATGATCTTATTGATTTAGGTAGTGCATTGTTAAATGCTCCTTCAATATTGGGAAATGCAGCAACCGCAATTGGGAGATTTTTCTGTACAAGGTTGTTTAATGCTAAATCTGTCGATTTGCCGGTTTGATTAGCATACTGGTGGTTATTCAGGGGGATGTATATAATGCCACCCTCCTGATGTGTCCATCCTGTATCCTCTCAAGTCCTTGATGTCCTTGATGTTAGGCTTATTGGTCGTACCGATTTAGGGTGTAGGTCTTTCCAATCGAATCAAACCGCTTGGTATAGTATCAATCGAATATCTTAAAGAGGGAAAAACCATCAACAGCGACTATTACATAGTGTAATTGAAGCCTTTGAAGGACCAACAGAAAATTTTTAATTTATCATTATTGACCTTGTTCTCATAAAATGTCATCAAATACATATTGTTGATTACATATTCTCGGACTTTGAGTGCAAGAAAAGCAAATAACCTTCAGAAATCGAATTGACTGCCGTGTTGGTCGGTGGTTCAAGCCCTAGTCTGAACGATCGATCTCCACTTGCTACCGTCCAACCCGTGTTGGGAATCACACGTTGAAAGGTAAGACCTCGTTAATCCTTAGCTCGCACAAGTTTCGACTTCTGAGGGTTGTCGTTCGTACGGGTGCGACAGCTGGTTAACGGAAAAACAGATTTTAAACAGATTTTTTTTAAAAACAGACTGACATGTTCAAAACTTACTAAAAATTATTATTGATTCACAGATCAAGATTCGAGAGTAAATATTCAGTATTTTCCAAGAATAAAACACAAGCACTACAGAAAAATCCTGGAGGCGCTCTTAGAGCGGTGCCTGGGCGGAAGTAGCGATTCACAGTGGATTTGAAACGCCACAGTCTGTCGCGTATTTCTGATTATATATCGCTCTTGGTGGAATCCAATGTACCAAGTCACTTGAACACTCCCCCCGAAAGTATATATTGAAAGGAGACAAATCTCCAACCTCTCTTCGATGTTCTAAGCTATTAAGGTTGCATACCCAGCATCTTCAGGGTATATTTGCGGCCAGAGCTTCATACATGAGAACAATACTCCAATAAGGTCTGATCTGAGCTTTATAAAGCATCAAAAGTTATTGAGGTTTACAGTTTTCTGGTTCGGAACAGCAGCCTTTGCAATTCCATCGACATGATTGTGCCAAGTCATATTGGTGTCCAGTTCAACCCCCCAACAAATTCATCGAAGCAGAAAGCGGAATTCTCTGACCTGACAATTATTATATACAGTTCGGAAACATTAATATTCACTGAATTGAACTTCTTGACTTCCACCCCAATTTAAAATCACCTCATTAAGATATGCAACCTCCTTCTTCTGGTGAAGATGTGCCTTCGTAGCGGCTGTCCTGGAATCCAAATAGAATGACGAAACAAGTATGCTGTCGTCAGCATGGCAATATATTGGCTTCTTGGTTTCTTCCAATGAGTCGTTGACTTACAATAAAAAAAGAGTTCGAGACAATATTGATCCCTGGGGAATCCCAGCGTTGATAGTGAAAGTATTTGAGATATATCTATCAACATCCACTTGCAGGGAACGTTCTTTGAGGTATGTGGAGAGCCATACACAAAAATGATCCGACAATCCATGGCATCATAGTTTGGCCAACAAACCCCCATGCCACACATGGTCAAAGGCCTTAGAAATATCAAGTGGAACAGCTTTTGACTCTCCATGTTTCTCGATTGCGTTATCCCAAATTTGGATAAAATACGATAGAAGGTCGCCCTTTGTTTCCGAAAGCCATATTGATGATCGCTCAAGATGTTGAAGCTTTCCAAATATTTGAGGATATGATGGTTTACAACTTTCTCCATGATTTTTGATATCACTGATAGCAAAGTGACTGGTCTATGGTTTATGAAAGATTTTTCTCGTCCTTTTTGGGAATAGGCTGAACGCGAGAAATTTTCCAAGAAGAAGGAAAAACGCCTTTCTTGTAAGACAGGTTGAGAAGTCAGCGACCAGAAGAATCTAGACCGTTGGGATTGGCAAGCAGTTCATCCCTAATTATTTGATTGTGAAGTTCTTCGCATACAATGTTCTAGGAGAAATACTTTGTCGGTAACCATCCGCAAATTACTCAAATCCCAGATGCTCTCTCTCTTTGACAAAGTGCCTACTTTCCGGACTAGGCCAGAAAGAATCACAACAGTGTTATCAGCTATAATATCCCAAGGACATTGATAACTAACGAAATAATTTTATCACAGTTTTCGAAAGCACGTTATTTGGTAACATCCCGACGCCGAAGGCGGAGGGATGTTACCTAAAATAACGTGCTTGAGGAAGTTGTGATNTTAGCAATGTCATGACATAAGTGATAACTACCCGTGAAAACTATCCATGGGTAGTTATCAGTGTTATGATGGTTTCATTGGTTATTTCGACACACATGACTAGAAATAGACAAATTTGATAGGATAATTTTTTTGGCAAAAAATTTTCACTGTAAATATCAAAATATTGGTAGGTATGTTTTCGATAAATGCTGGTAATTACCATAGCACCGAAATAAATGACAGCTATTTGACATAACATCAGTTGACATCAATTCAAAGTCTATTTTTTCGTTTTCATCTTCTTCCGTCACAGACTAGTATGCAAAAAACTAGTTGAAAAACTAATATGAGGCTGTCTGCACCTTCTGGTAACAGTCTTGCCCAATCATGTGACGAATTTATTATAAAATTTGAAATCAAGAAAGTCCTTCGAAATGAATTTTGAATATATCACTACCGCATTTTCAATGATTCAATGTTCAATAATTATTCTTGTATACTTTCAAGACACCACAAGTTTGAAATGCTGAAATCATTAAAAACATCCTGTTGAGTTGTCTTTCATTGACGCTACATGTTTTTTTACTCAACAATCGCAAACTTTAAAGTACCCACATAACAATTTGTGTATAGATAGGTGACATCTAGGCCAAGAATTGATAATATAATGTTTGGCAATAAGTTGATAACGAATAACTGTAAACAACCTCAAGTGGAAATTTAGAGTTTCGAATGTATTGATTGAGAGGTGGAAATATAAAACTTTCACAGATTAGGAAAATGTCCAATTATATTTTAAAATTCACATAATCAAACGTTACATCGTTCACTGTCCTGAAAAAAAAAATGGAGGGTTGCCTCTTGCATTCCATAATGTCATCAAGTTACATCAACTCCGCTTTTAGCTGCACATTCTATGAACACGATCAGTAATAAAGCTGGGAATAACATTATTTGGAGCTTCCAAAATGAATTGGAAAATTTGTGATTTCTCTAGTACTCGTGATTTTTTGCCACGGTAACAATTTGATTGATGCTATATTATTATTGATATGCAATGTATTCTTGTAGTGTTGTCTGACATGAGGATTTGCTGACCAAACTTCAATGCTATGGCTTGTGGGATCATTTTTGTGTATGCCCCTCCAGCTTCCTGAAAAAACGGTCCCTGCATATATATATATATATATATATATATATATATATATATAGAAATNAAATACGTGGTGGATTAGTAGAGGCTACTAGAATATGAGTTAGAATTAATTGTTGCACTGAATCGAAACATTTCAATAATTAGTTATTAGTTACGTTCATTAAAATTTTTTGCTTCATTGTTAGTTGAATTGTGTGAATGTAATTCCCTTATTTTCAATAAAAATATTTACGCTATTTGGTTTTTTTTTCCATCTGGCGGCACTTTATTGTTGAAATCATAAAATAAATGATATATTGTGACTGTTAGCTGTGTGAGTTTTCGAAAATTTGAGTTGTCATAACTTTGTTAATAATGAATATTTTTACATGAAATTCTGGTCACACCTATTCAGAGGCACTCTGAATCCAGTGGCGTAGTGATTTTTCCAATAAAAAAATCGCTAATAAAAAATCCCGATTTTCGGCTAAGGTAAAATATTGTAGTATGCCCTGAAACTTTAATAAACATTCCAAATTTTGTCCCAAGGTAGACCTTTTAGTACTTGACATTTTGCAAAAAAAAATATTAAAATCGATTCACAACTTCAAATTTTAGGGGGGTGTTTCCATTAAAAATGGGTCACACTGTATATATCTCCACGGGAGAGGGTCAAGTGACTTGGCACATTTGATTCCATCAAGAGCGGTCCATATCAGAAATACACGACGGACTGTGGCTGCTCATCATTTTGAGGTTCAACTCAGTACACCTCGAACTTCACTGTTTAAGAACTCTTTCATTTGGACGACTGGGTTCATGTGGAATAAACTTCTTGTGACTGTTTTTAGAAATGGATTTCATTTCCAGCGATTCAATGTGAATCGCTACTTTCGCACAGACACCGCTCTTAGAGCGCCTCAAGGATTTTATTGCAGTGCTTGTGTTTTGTGAACATTTCCTTTGTCATCCATCCGGTATAGTCACTGGCTTTTTTTGACAATGACAACTTGCCAGTGTCAAAACACACTGAAAAATTTTTCTACATTTTTATAGAACCTCCTTCTGCATGTGGAAATTTCTTTTTTACATTTCCATGATTCTAGTCGACAACAGTTGGGAACGAAATATCTATTCTACAGATTTATTCAACTGAATTATCCACAGGTGGAACGGCTGAAGAATGTGCTGGTTGCGATGAAGATAAGTTAGTTTCATATCTGGCAAATCTCGAGGTACTCAGTCCGGAAAGCATCTTTAGTTTGTCAATTGATGACATCGATCTTTTGTGCAAGTTCAGTTGGAATTGTTACATAGTGGAAAGGAAAGTCAGGATGAATCTTATGTTTCAGGAAACTTGAGGAAAATCTGAAGCCAATAGACCAATACCTGAAATCGTGCAGAAACCCAGACGAAAAGGATCTTTACATATCGCTCATTAGAGGCGTCAAAGTTTTGAACGACAAGCTTTGCTGCACGGACACAGACTTTTACAAAAGTGAGTATACATGGGCTGATGAATCCCGGGCCTGAGGAAAAAAACACGTTTTTCTGTTCAAAATCAGCTTCATTCATCAAAATCATCTTCATCAAGAGTCAATGATTTTAGCGCCACTCTAACATTACAATACCACTTCAGTAGAAAGATTTATCTTTCGCCTCGAAAGAGGCCTCAGCTTCAGCAATAACCCCTTCAGTCTGATTCTGATTCAGCCCTTCACCATGTGGTTGGTGGAATTGAAAGTTCATTGGACAACAAAGAATCTACCATGGGTATATTCATAGATATCGAGGAAGCGTATGATAAAACAACCTTTCCAACAATTGCCCAGCAAGTAAACTCCAGGAATGTACCCCTGGTAGTAGGAGAATGGATACTCAAGATGCTCTTCAGTGGAACAAAAAGTATCAATATAGAAGACATCACAGTGAGAGGAATGGTCATGAGGGGATGTAGAGGGAGGGGTGTTGTCACCCCTTCTTTGGAATTCTGTTCTGGATACCCTGATTAAACAACTCAACAGTAATGGATTCTACACAATTGCAAATGCAGATGACATAATGATCTTGCAGACCAGCAAATTTGTGAACACACTGTCGATACAGCGCAGGATGGACTCAAATATGGTGTGAGGAATACTCACTGTCGATCAATCCCAAGTAGACTGAAATGGTTTATCGGGCTTAAAATCTACCGAGATCTTCAAAAGCAAACTAAACCTCTCTGGAGAGGTAAAATACCTTACTACTACCCTCGACAGGAAGCTAACATGGAACTTTCACGTACAGAGTAGAGCAAAAAGAGCATATGTGTCTTATATAAACAGTGGGACGCACATGGGGTCTATCACCCCTTGTGGTCACCTGGATCTACACTGAGACCTATGTTAACGTATGGAGTCATTGCATAGGGACCGAAAGTTCTACAAGCAATGGCCATCCACTCACAGGAGCCATGAGAGCAACACCAACCGCGGCAATGGAATTGATTACTGGTCTGACCCCTCTGGACCTGTACATTAAGGAGGTTCCGTTAATGGCCATGTTACGATTGCACACGGCTACTGTAAACCTCAAAGTAGCAATGGTCAATTGAGGCTGAACCTATGGCGAGAAGCGCTTACTGTGTAACCTCTGCTGCAGGCAGCCAATGATGCAAATCAACCCAGGTTTGTATTTAATAAACCCTACAAAATACAAATAAAACAGAACACAGAGTCAAGATGTGGAGTTTACTCCAGATCACTAAGTATAAAGATTAAGTGGTGAATGAAAAAGAAAACCAACGTGGTTCAAACAAAACTGGCTGGTATCTTAATCGCCACAAGAGAAATTACCAGGAAAGGAATTTCTGGCAGAAACATAACCATCTGCACTGATAGCAAACAAGCCCTATTAGCCTTGAACAGACAATGTGTTACCTCCGGGCGAGTACTAGAGTGCGACCAAGATTTAGCCAAAGCAGTGGGAAGCCAGGTTAGCTTCCCACTGCTACCAACTGCTACTGCAGTTGTCGGTTGATTGGTCAAACTACCACTGACATAAAAACTTGGCAAGTTCACTTGGGTGTCTCCCAGTTTTGAATATGAGAATTGATGGTCGCATAGTCTAGACTTAGCAAAACTTCCTTGCTTCAGTGATTTCGCATGAATCTTAGTGCGTAACTATTTTTTTTCAATTTACTGCAAAGAAGGTCAATATGTGGATTCCATGTAAGTTTGTGATTTAAGGTGAGCCCAGCATTTTTATTGTTGAGCAAGATGTGACCTCCAGATCGTTATATACAGGGCTATTCAAATTCGTTTCTGTTGCTATTGTGTTTTTATTCATTCAGTCAACCAATTTCCAGGGAATAATTCACACAATTATAGTCGAATATTACTGAAAAATCTCGAAATATGAAATTGAATTCAACTTCTCAGTATGAAGTGAACGTCTACGATTCAAAAACTACAATAAAATACAGGTTCGTATTTGAAAATTCAAAGATGGGGGAGGCCCAAGTCAGATGACACCTTGTATAAAAGATTCATGGATATATTCTGAGAGCCCACATCAATTGCGAATAGCAAAATGTGGACTGATTCACAATATATCTGCTAATAAAGAAGATATAGTCATAAAAATAATTTGAGATTTTTTGGTTGTCCCTGTATATCTCCAGAACCAAAAACAAAAATTTCTTCACATCACTGAATACAACTTTGCCATGATTTAACCGACACTCTATCCCTTATCGTTCACGAGATCCCCATGTACAGAAACGAATTTGAATAGCCCTGTATATTTGAACACACTGAGAATGAAATTCATATTACCTAATGAATATTCCATCAACGCTGTTTTGTTGATGTTGAGTGGTATATGATTTTTATCAGCTCATTTGATTACATTTTTATAGACCAATTCAGTTATTTTTGAAAGTACTACAAGTAATCTAAAATTCAGTATCATCTGCAACGATATGTACCATCGTGAGATCATGAAGATACCTTATTAGATTGTTAGCATGAATCAAAAAGAAAAGTAGCCCCCGTATGGATCCCTGAGGACCACCCCAATAACAATAAAATAGAGTGTTCTTCAGGGATCCATACTGGGCCTACTTTTCTTTTCGATTTATGCTAACGAATAATTCATATTCTGAAATCGGTTATATATAGGCGTAGGGAAAGTTGTCGGATATTTGTGATAGATTCCAAAATGAATATTATATACAGGGTATTCTATTTGAAGAATTAAAGTTGATACTACTTACTAATAGAAGTTGCAATATCACATCGTCTGAAATATGTTAGTTGAGTTATCGGGTGTCTGGTTCTCTAGAAACGTCTAATTTGCCATCCACCGTTAATAAGCCTGTATATATCAATAATCTTAGTGATAGTCAAGTCACAATATAGTGTTACTCGAATAAAAACAACTTTGTGATTTCAATAAGTTTAATTTCTTCCCCAAGGATTCAGTATATTCCACCCATGCTTGGCAGAGTTGAAGAACGATTTTGAAAGCTGTAATGGTCCAGCTGACTGGATTGAAGAACAGGATGAGAGAGTCTGCAGGTTTGTATTCAATTTCATCGAGGACTAGAAATATTCCAATGTTCCCAACAATTTCAGAACCTACAAAAGTATAGTTGACTGTTATTACATAAAAGCTGCGAAAGTTTGCGGAAAGGAGGCTGCAAAAGCCATTACAGAACTGATAGAGGATGTCATTAATAGTATCATAAATGCAAAATGTACGGGAATTAAATCTTTGCCTGTGGTAAGAGATGCTATGCCTGAAAAATATATAAGAAGAAATAGTGCAGAGGTAAATTCCTTATATTTTTACAGAACGTCTGATTGAAAGTCGCAATTTTCAGAAAGAATGTTTGAACACATGGAAGACAATCACGATAGTACTATTACATATTTCTTACATTGTACACTGCTATATTCTTAAGTAATTGTATGTTAACGATCAAATAAATTTATCGTCAAATGTTCATTTCAATTATTAATACCTTATCATTTCATCTATTTACTAAAATGTTTTCATGCTTCACGATGCGAAAATCTTTGCTAAAACAATTGCTTCATGGCATTAGAACAATGTCACAATTTTACAATGGAAGACAAATTCAAACATAATCGTTGAATCTTGAAAATGGATTCTTCAGAGTATAACTTATAGCACACACTAGGTCGGGACAGTACGGACGAACCGTACACATGAGATTTTTGAAGAAAATGAGGCATTGTTTACTCCAGTTATGCTCTTGCAGTGATGTCCTGGCAAGATGATTTGCAATCTCCACCGTACTCGAAAAAATCGAGAAAAATAACTTTAGGCATCCCAAAGTACCGTACCGATAACATCTTCTGTCTGCAGTACGTACAGTACGGTCGTTCTGACGTTTCAGTTTGATGACTGAAATTATTGAGAATGGATGTTCATTGATTTATAGTGTTGGTGCAAAACCATCCTGAATGTTGTTACATATTTACTGTCATTTCGTAGTGGAATACATATCCAAACATAAACATTGAAACTTGGAACTTTATCATTTATAGTATAGCTTATGGCACACACTAGGTCGGGACAGTACGGATGGATCGAACACACTGAATTTTTAAAGAAATTGGGGCATTGTTTACTCCAGTGATGTCCCCACTAGGCTCATATTATCCTGTCAAAATGATTCGCACCTTTCACCGTACTCGAAAAAAATCTAAGGAAATATTTTCAGGACATCCCGACACATTGAAACGATGGTATCCGCTCACTGCAGTACATACAGTACGGTCTTTCTGCCGTTTCAGTTTGATTATTGAATTGAATTTCCTTCTCCGAGAGAAGGAAATATCAGGAGCAGATAGTTGTTGGTTCACAGATGTATCAAAAATACCTCTAGATTCTGGTACAAGTGCTTTCAGTCGCAGACCTAGGACAGAGATATCAACCTGCCTAGGAACCTATGCGACTGTATTTCAAGTGGAAATTTACATTATTGAATTGTGTGAGGAGAGATTGGAAGGATCTAACCTCATGAACAAGTCAATAAAAATATTCTCGAACAGTCAAGCGGCTTTGGAAGCTTCCAAGTCCTACCGAGCCACGTCCAAATTGGTAGCAAATTGCCAAAAACAACTTTCCTCGATAGGAAGACTCAGCAGAATGTCTCTGATCTGGATTTCTGGCCATAGTGGCCTGGATGGCCATTGAACACTCGGATGACAAGAAGATCTATGAACTTCCGGCAGAATCTTCCAGAATTGTCTCATTCCAAGACATTTATTTACCCTTCGAAGCTTGGCAGAACCTCACTCTTACCGTCTGACCTGAAAGACCACTCACCATACAAAATAATCGGCTTCGTTAGGAATCTGGGTTCATTTGGTCGAGTGTGAATAGGTGTGTGCCACAATAAACCCTTGCGGGTTACGGTAGAGGGTCTAATAGACCCACTTACTTTGGACCTAACTGAACCTGAGCTAATTTCATTTCGGAAACTCGTTAAAGAAGTGGGAGAGAAGCTCTGTCAGCGAAACCGCATAAATTATTGACATCTCACTTCATCCTGAAAAAAATTATTCCTGAGAATACATCCTCCCGAGGAGTTGTCCTTCTAGGTCATCGTCCATCCTGTCCTTTCCAGGAAGGTGGACAGGTCACTGGGAGACATCTTCTTTATATCGGCAGGTGTAGGCCAAGACTCGTCGAACACACACTCTCTTATTGACGATAACTTCGGGTACTCGCACAGGACATGCCTGACAGTCTCATCTTCCTGCTCTGGCAATATTACATTCTTTGATTCCATCCCATCTCTTTGAGGATTGAGCATGGGTGTAACATTTAACTAGTTCCGCAATTGTCGAAGTCATCAGGTAGATGCCACTGGGTCCTAAAATTCTTAGTCCAGCCGCTTCCTTGGCTAAAGAGTCGGCAATGCGTGCCCTTCAATCTACCTCAGGATAATGTTAATATGGATAATTATTATATGTGATAATGTACTAGCCCTGAGGTTATACGTTGTATGTTCAACGCTAATAGGGATTATCTGCTGTCAGTGCGGATTATTATGTTTTTGCCAGAAATTCCTTCCTTGGTTATTTCTTTTGTGGCGATTGAGATACCAGCCAGTTCTGTTTGGACCACGCTGGTATTTCCTCCCATTCCCCATTTAATCCTTAGGCTTAGTGATCTGGAATACACTCCACACCCTGAGTCTTCTTTGGTTTTTGAGCAGTCTGTGTAAATCCGTATTTCATTTATATCATCTGACTCTATGTGCCGCTTCATTTCTATTTTGTAGGGTTTATTGAACACAAACTTGGGTTCAATTGCATCGCTTGTTGCCTGCAGCAGAGGTTGCGCAGTAATTGTTTGGTAAAAAAATATCGAAATTAATTTATATCTTCTAAACGGTGATAGATAGGTATAGGGAAATAGTATATGAATTCGTTGACAAAGTGATAATGAATCATAATATGATATTATATACGGGGTGTTCCATTTGAAAAATCAGAGAAGCCGCCACTTTATAGTAGAAGCGACAACGCCGCTTCGTCTGAAATATTTTAGGCGTGTAGGTATATTGATTTATGCATACTATGAAATTTTCATGTTGATCCGTTAAATAGTTTGTCAGAAACAGCTAATTAAGTCTCATCATGAAAAGCCCTGTATATCTTATTCATTTCACGATTTTATGGAAATGTAAATCCCGTATACTTTTCAGCATCATCGAAGAATTTGTTATCAGCGAACTTTCTGTAATTTGTGATATATTTTGTGGCCAAGAAAGGGGAGCAAGCATGTGAAAATCGGAAATGTAAGATATATACAGACGTTCGAATTAAAAAAAGTTGCCCATTTCGTAGTTTTGAATGGCGTTTTGAAAATTGAAAAATGTGACTGATACTGAGGAGATTTGAAGAGAACGGATTTCATTGAATTTTTTTCGGAGGCCATTTCACTGAAAATTTAACAAATTTTTAATGTGTCGTTTAATTTCCGAAAAACCATAATCAATTTTGATTTATTATATTGACCTGTTGAAAGAATCAGACAGTTAAGGTCAGCCATTGTGGAGAAAAAATTACTGGAAAATCCTTACGTTGGATTTGAATAGCTGGTGATTCAGTCAGTCAGATTCAGTCAGAAAAATGTTCTCAGGCAGTTTATTCTTTGCGATGTATTGTTTGAAACCTCTGGTGTATGTAGGTAGGTGTAAAGTGAGTGGATTTATTCGACCTTCCACCGCAACCCACAAAGGTTTATTGTGGCTCACACCCATTCACACTCGACCAAATAAACCCAGCTTCTCAACGAAGTCGATTAGTTTGTATGGTGAGTGGTCTTTCAGGTCAGATGGTGAGAGTACGAATCTGCCGAACTCAAAAAACCTGATTCAGTCCTCAGCGGGGCAGGCACAAAGTATATGCTCTGCAGTTTCATCATTTTTCAGACAGAGGCGACACACACTGTCTTCCGATAGTCCAAGTCTCTGCATGTGATGATTCAAATGACAGTGACCTGTGAGAAGGCCTGTTAGACATCGTAGTTCATCACTGCTGTTTGGTATCAAGCTTCGAAGGGTGAATAAACGCCTTGGAGTAAGCCAATCCTGGAAAATTCTGTTAGAAGTTTTGCCTTTCTGCCATCCAGGTGTTCAATGTTTGCCAATGACAGGCTCTGGTCCGATGAAGCTGCTTGTAACAGCCTCCTTTGCAAGGGCGTCAGCAGCCTCACTGCCTTTGAGGCAAGTAAGGCCAGGAATCCAGACCAGAGACAATCTGTTGTTGAGTCTTCCTATCGAGGAGAGTTGATTTTGGCAATTTGCTATCAATTTAGACGTTGCTCGGTAGGATCCAAGAGCTTCCAACGCCGCTTGATTGTCCGACATTTTTATTGGCTTGTGTGTAAGGTTGGATTCTTCCAATCTCTCCACATACAATTCAATAGCGTAAAATTCCGCTTGAAATAAAGTCGTATAGGTTCCTAGGCAGGTAGTCTCTCTCTGTCCTCCGTCTGCGAATAAAAACACCTGCACCAGAACGAAAGGTGTTTTTGATCCATTAGTGAAACAACAACTATCTGCTATATTTCCTTCTCCCGGAGGATCCAGTCCTCTCTATTCGGGAGTAAAGAGGCAGTTCATAGTTGACAGTTGGATAGATAAAGTCATAATGTTGTGAGTTCCAGTGTCAACCATTAGTCTGTTACACGATGCATTGAATTGATTTGTGGAATTGGCAATGTGCTCAAGTCTGTATGCAGTCCATCTATCCTCTCTTTCCAGTAAAATGTAGAGAGGAGGTAGATCTAGAAGGATCTCCATGGCCGCTGACTGACTGATGGCACCACCGATGGCCAGACAGCCTGTGTCTGTAAGCCAGAGAGCTTCACCTGGGCCGTTTTCTGTAAATCCTCCGGCCACCAGGTAATTGCACCATAAGTGATAATTGGTCTGACAATCATTACATAAATCCAATGGATTAGTTTGGGGACTAAACCCCAAGTTTTACACATATTTTTCGACATCTCTATAGAGGCAGTCTGGATTTATGTGTAACTTTTTCCAAGGCGTTCCAGGTGAGTTTTCTAACAAGGACAATGCCAAAATAGTTCACCCCCATTCCAAATGGAATGACCTCATCATTAGGGAAAAATAGCGTTAGCTCGTTCAATTTTCCCTTATGGTGTAGAGGATTATCACAGTTTTGCTGGGGTTGACAGACATCTGCTTCCTCAGCCACCAACTGTGAACAACTCCCAACGTGCTTTGAAGGATATTACAAGCAACCCTTCCTGGCCTGGACCTTGCCAAGATGACAAAGTCATCTACATAAGCTTGTCGAGGGCATCAAGCAAACTATCCATCAGGAGCGACCACAGAAGGAGAGATAGTACCCCACCTTGAGGGCAACCCCTGGTGACACTGAACCTAATGGCCTTGCCTTGAAGAATCGTAGTTGCAGTTCTGTTTACTAGCATGGC